ATAGCTTTTCATATCTAGCTTCTGATGACCTGTATGTGCATTGATAATTATTATTTTTTACTCCTTCACTTCATACATATTATAGGGTTTGGCTCCCTAAAGACACCGATTGTATAGTGTACAAAGCATTGAGTATTCTACATGTTAGAGTTATCTAATGCTCATCTATTATTGGCTGGTAATTCCTGTTTCACCCTGTACGTAAGCTTTTTAAAGGAACACAAAATGTCTGTAGATAAGTTAACTTCAAGGGGTAATAAAATCGTTTACACTAGAATTATGATTTTTTCTCTTACTCTTTTTTTCAGTTTTGCATATAATAATAATGAAATAGGTTGTCAATGATCGTTAAGACTGTTTTTCTCTATCAAATGATGAGAAAATTATAGTTCCTGCGAGAACTAGGTAGGTGCTGGGCCTGTTGAAAAAAGATGATGATGAACGAAAATAAGAAATCTCGGTTTTGGCTGTTCTCCGGTTTTCGACAATGGGACGCTCTGGATAGCTAAAAAGCGGCATATACATCGGAGATAGAGCGATTATGACAGTTAGCTTTCATATCTAGCTTCTAATGACGTGTAGAGAAGAAAATGCAGATGCGTTTTGTATTGCTTTAATACGTGCCATCCCTGAATAGAGAGTGCTAGCGAACTCTCCGATCATATACATTTGTATGATGCTTTTAGTTGTATTTTACTAGCCACAGTGAACCTATATTGATATATGATTTGAAGAATACGTAGCATTGATGCTGCAATAATAGTTACAGGTATGCTCTGGAGCTCCCCCGGTCGTCAAAGCGTTTATACAAAATACGTTATAAAACAAAATATTTATCGCATATCTTACACACGAAACATACAAGTTTTAAAGCTAATTCGTTGACTAAGTGAAATTAAATTTATTATTATTATTACTTGTTTGTTGTACCGAATTAATACAATAAATTAAACATAATAAATGGATATATGTATTAGATTAAATATACTGTACATTTTAACTGAAATGAAATAACGAAACGTTTGGCATCAACGAAATACATATTAATTAAGCCCCCTCAAACTTCAGGCTTCTTCGACTGCAGTGATGAAGAAGCATTTACGATGGCTTTGCATACAACTACACTTTCTCCTGACCTACAACTCACGTTCAACTTTATTTTTGTTTTGTAGTTGTAAAAAGTGTAAATTTAAAATACTTTATAATTGTTTTTCTACTTTTTATAATAATTATTCTTTTTTTTTGAAGACAAGTAGGAAAAACATTGTTCAACTCATCGTTTCGAAAATATTAGATTTGTTCGTTTTGTTCAATTTCACGCAAAGCTGCTTGTAATGATATACCAATTAGTGTTTTACGCTAATCGGATTTGACTGTCATTCTTCTAACGCACTCACGACCCAAATTGTATAGCGCAATTACGGTTACTGGCGCAAATCACAGTACGCTAACCACTAGGCCGCACTCGGCTCAACTATTAAGTAATTCAGAAGCTCATCTTTAATTTAAATTTCATGACTTGTAATGTTTATATAAAAATAAACAAGTGAAGTGCAGAACGTTCTGTAAGTCATGATACGTGTATTCTAATTATTTACTGTTTATGTCAAAATATTTCAATTTTGACAGCAACAAGAAGCCTTAGAACCTTTTAAACTTAAAAGTTGTTCTTTTGGAATCCATAAATTACGGCAACTTTTTATTATTATTATTTACTAAAATTAATTCGTTCGTTGCTTAGCACAACGCGTTAATTGTGTTATATCAACCGTCGGTATCGAACCATCGGCTTTTTTAGCATCGTAATAATTACATATTAATTCGTAAACACAACACCTATAATTTTAAAAAGATTCGTAAAATACTGTAATTGAACATATCGAGCCAATTACAGTATGATAAATATAAGAGAGGACTTAAACCATTCTGTTGGAGAAAATGTCCCTAACCTAGTTACAGGTACCTTTAATGACAATTACCGCTCATCACATAAAAAAACAAGGTGGAAAATGTCCCTAACCTGGTTACGGGTACTTGTAATGACAATTACCGCTCATCACATAAAAAACAAGGTGGAAAATGTCCCTAACCTAGTTACAGGTACCTTTAATGACAATTACCGCTCATCACATAAACAAAGAAGGTGGAAAATGTCCCTAACCTAGTTACGGGTACCTTTAATGACAATTACCGCTCATCACATAAAAAAAGAAGATGGAAAATGTCACCAACCTGGTTACAGGTACCTTTAATGACAATTACCGCTCATCACATAAAAAAAGAAGGTGGAAAATGTCCCTAACCTGGTTACGGGTACCTTTAATGACAATTACCGCTCATCACATAAAAAAATAAGGTGGAAAATGTCCCTAACCTAGTTACGGGTACCTTTAATGACAATTACCGCTCATCACATAAAAAAAGAAGGTGGAAAATGTCCCTAACCTGGTTACAGGTACTTGTAGTGACAATTACCGCTCAGCATATAAAAAAAGAAGGTGGAAAATGTCCCTAACCTGGTTACAGGTACCTTTAATGACAATTACCGCTCATCACATAAAAAAAGAAGATGGAAAATGTCCCTAACCTGGTTACAGGTACTTTTAGTGACAATTACCACTCATCACACGAAAAGAAAAATAAATGGAATACGTAATAAATTACGAATGATTTTGGTTGTTTGTTGTGAAGCTCAAAAGCATACAATGAGCTATTTGTGCTGTTCCCCTACACGGGTATTGAAACTCAATTTTTAGCGTTATAAATCTAGAAGCGTGCTGCTGAGCCACTGGGAGTGGGGGACATACGAATGAGAAGTAATAAAAAGAAATAGAAGCAGACGATACGTGCGGGACATGTTTTATTAAATATATAAATGATAAGTAGGAGGTGGGGGTAATAGTAAGTATAATGATGAACAAAAACTTAACAATCTGTTGATTCATTGACTACTCTCGTTTAAAAAGGGCGATGACGTAGATTGAATGACTGTCGAAAGACAACGTTACTTAAACCTATCATTGCACGATATCGTTATATATGCGGTGCCCAGCCATCTCCATCTCAGTGAAATAAAGTAATTTTCTCTCAAATCAATGCATGTGAGAATAACATCCTTCTTATCAGATCTGTGCCAGTTTATCTTACCAATCTGGAAATGACCAGTTTTATAGAGGACTTCCTGTTCTCAGCCATATTAAGGCCTCTTTTGATAAGCTTGGTCTGGCTTTATTGGTGTCATGTCCATCAGTTTAAACAATACGAAATTACACCAAGAGGAATGTCCCTGTAATAAGCACAATTATTTAAGTTTTGGCATTTCACTAACCTTGGAAAAAAGTAAAATTATCTTAATAACACCAATTTCTATGGTTTGTATATAAAACTGCTTCGAAAAAAAAGTTTTGTCTGAGCTGTGCCAAAGAGGTGCAAACTTTAGCTTGAAACGTGCTTTACACATCGCCAAATCAATACGAAATGTACATGTTGTACACATTTAATGAGATTGACAAATTTGCAATTATACGAAAGTACATATTGATTTGTAACAATACTCTTGACTCGTTCCTATAGGAGTGAAGTATTTCCAACTTGGTAGATTAACAATAGAGCGAGAGTACCCAGTCTTAATACATTTAAATTAATTCTGCTGTTAAGGTTCAAAAATATTTTAGAAGAGGTGCTATTATCACTCATTATATATAAAGGGATGAACAACAGAGATTAAATGCAACTTTGATCACCATTCAGTATTTTCCAGGTAATATTATTTTATTTCTGTTTAACTGCAAAGTTATAATAGTCAGTACGCTAAAACATGCAAAACAATTTTGAATATAAAAAGGTACATAGATGGATCTTGGTATGCTAATTTAGGGTCAAAACATGAAATGTTTAGCTAACAAGTGATGATACGCGATCATTATGTAATAAATGTAAGTTTGTACGTTTCTTCACAGTGCATGTGAAATCTTCAAACCTGAAATCATGACACTTTTGTGTCAAAACGTAGAAGAAACACTTTTAATCAATATCTTAGGAGACAGTGGTGTCGTGCCCATAAGCCCTCTCTCCTCCTCCACACGCTGTTTAAATAATTTCAAATCCATGTACAAACATTTGATTAAATATGTTCAAAATATTTGTCTGTATTGGAAACCAATAAGTTAATCAAAGTAATATTGAAAATTTAATAATATGAAAATTCAAAGTCCATTGATTATTGTATATATGATTATTATTATTAATCCATCACTGATAACAAAAGTACTTTTTCTGACTGCGCCCCCCACCCCCTCCCAAAAAAAAAGCTGTCAGGAAAGACAACACAACTTACTTACACTCTCGCTTAGTCGGTAAACAAGATGAATACAAAGGTCTCCAACGTAACAGCTTCGTGTATAAGATATGGATGTTACGTTAACCCCAAACAACATGAAAACATCACAACCAATAGAAGAGTTTAATTTATAAACAGTTGTGGCCAAACTAGAATAGAAGGGAGATAAGAAGAACATGAAAAGAAACATAACAATTGAATGATTTGGAATAACTAAAACCAGTCCAAAAACTTTAAGGTAAGAAAAATAAGATATATTTATTCAAATATTGTCCTGTAGAAGTCGGTTGTAATACCAAAAACAGATTTCCTCAACTCGGTGAAGAGATACAACTATACTGCAAAGAAAAAAAAAATATCATAATATTTTCTTTTAGTGTGACGATAACGTACGCGTAACAGCTCAAAGAAAATGTTTAAACACCACTTCACAGCTACGATAGCTCGAAGAGCCACTGATATCGGCGATACCATTAATAGGAAATGAGGTTAGTTCCTTGCTCTAAAACAACCAATGTAGTAACAAACATCGGATGCACTAAAAAACGTACGGAGTTTTTCTCTTCATCCAAAAATAACTAACTCTTAAAAAAAAGGGCCATTCCCCTCGATTTTGTTTTTCAAACTTTGGCACTGTTAGTTATATTCATTCTCTGTTAGTTATATTCATTCTTAAGACTTACCACGATATTTTCAAGCCACTTGCCAACCATTATAAAAAACTGAACTTATTATCATTTTTATTGACAGTGAAAGAAGATATGACAAAGGAAAGTATACATTTATGAAACTATATTTGTCATGATAATAATCTAATGTGAGAATGTTTACACAAGACGATTCGTTTATTTGCTTGTAATTAAGCACAAAGCTACACAGTGGAATATCTGTGCTCTGCAGAGAAAACTAATGGCTTCCAAGAAACTTATCCTATACTATTTAGGTTTGTTTGTTTGCAGTTAAGCACAAAGCTATACGATGGGCTATCTGTGCTTTGCCCACTACGAGTTTCGCTGCGTCACTGGGGGGCTACTCTGTTCCCTTACAGTAAGTACTTTCATTATATATAATATAATATAAATATAATGTTAGTGTTGGTGATATAAATATACAAACATTTTATACATTGTTTTCGTTCTGCGTATACATACATCAAATAAAGAACAGATCATCTAAGGAACCTAATTGGTCAGTTTTTCTAGGAATCGATTGCGCATTAGTATGTGTTCCACTTCGAGGCGGAAAGACAGAATAACATCAAGTTTTGGTTTTGCTATTACCCTTGTCAGGGCATACCCTTAAAACACATGATTTATAAGACAAGTTTATTTATTATTTATAAGATTTGATCTATGTATAAGTTGCATATTTACTTATTTCTCTTTTTCGATTTTTCATCTAATCTAATCTCAAAGCCTGTTTTTATAGTTTAGTAACTATATTATTTTCATTGAGCAAAATGCAAGAAATATTTTAATTTATTTTCTATTGTATCATTCTATATTATTGTAACGAATTTGTTATTATATATTTATTTTAATATCGACGTTTGTTTAGATTAGATTTATATTTAG